TATATACATATTTTTCATCCATTCACTTTAAATTAAAGGACTAAAAATATGTATATTTAGATAAATTTAACAAAATAATTGATAGAAAGATTAAAAAAAGTGAAGAATAGACTAAAAAATTACATTAAAAAAAGTTAAAAGATGAAAATTATATAAAACATTAAAATTGAGGATAAAAAATAAAATTTATTTTTTAAAATTTAAATTGAATTGTGCGGACGATTTTTGAGTACCGATATATGAAATTGCAATTGCAATTGCAAACAGGCTTTAGTCCAAAACGAAGTTGTTTTGGGTCACAGAATCCTTTTTTTTTTTTTAACTTATCAGTGTGTACCGGTTGAAACTTTGGTGAACTGATTTGTATACAAAAATTTCGATTGGTACATCAAATTTTGACTGAAATAAATTTTTATATTATATCATTTTGGATAATACAAAAAATCGACAGATACCAATCGTACCAATTCATACGGTACAAAATTAACTCCTTTGCGCGTAGCACTTCGGTCTCCTGAACCGAGGAGTTTTTAATTTAATTGTAAAGTGCATTTTTTTAATTTTAAAATTAAGGTTAAAATCTTTCATTTCTAATTATATATTTATCAAAAAAAAAAAAAAGGTCTTGTAAGTATTTGATGGTAGTTCTTCAATGACTTTCTGTATATCAAATAGCATCCTCTCATCATCCTGGTGACAAAATTCTCGGCAACACCAACACCCTTCCTACCAAATCGTCGACTTCAACCAATTCAATGAAGGTGTTCTCTCTTCTCTAGTTGTGGTGTTGGGGGATGATAGTTGATGATGATAAGAGAGACTTGATGGACATCAATACCGCGAGGCACGAGGAAAGAGACCAGTGTTGACAAGCATGCGGGAGGAAAATTCCCTAATTATTATATCGTTCCTTGTGTTTTGGTTTAGTCTCTGTTCCTGGGTGACTTACACTGTGTGGTCGAGAAATGGCGTACAGAACAAGGATATCTATTTTATTATTATTTTTATTTAAAAAATGTGAGTTTTGTTAGTACTTAAATAATGTAATAAATTTTTAATTTTATTTAATAATATTTATTTGCTGTTTTTTATTTAAAATTATTTAAATGATTACAAAAATTGTTTGTCATCTCAATATTATTATTTAATTTTTTTTACATTAAAAATATAAAATTAACAATTTTAAATAAAAAATAAAAAATTTACTTATTTATTTAAAAATTAATAAAATTAATATTTTTATTTGTACATTTTCTTTGTGTGATCAAATAATCCACACATTTTGTCTGTAAGCCAATCAATCTTATGGCGTTATGCCTAGTGTTCACAAATATGACACTCTGGGTGATTGCTATGGTCTCGTAGAGATCATCACGGAGTGTCTCAAGCTTCCATTCCTTCTCCTCAGCATTGACATACAACAGCTTCATACACTTGAGGATACATAAGCCCATCATGTTTTACCAGAACCCTTAACAGGTTTGTTCATGAACTTAATTCCTTGTGATCTCAAAGGCCTCAGAAGACGTGATGGCAGACAAAACACCGATCAAGAATCTTTGATGGCACAACTGAAAGATGTCATATATGATCGGGCAAATATAAACAATTGAAGTCATCAGATACGACCAAATCCAGAAGACTTGACTAAGGTAAACGTCAAGTAATTAGTTACAGTTCCCGGACAAGTAGATACCTTCACAAGAGAACAATTGTTTTCCTTAATTTATATAAAATAAGATAAGGCATATAAATTTTGTTTATATCCCCCGTTAGACTTTGCAACCTCAACCTATCATTTTCAGTAAATGGCAGGAAAGAGGACAACAAGAATACATTGAAACCATAAGCAGAGAGAAAAAAAATAAAATAAAATTAGGGCCGGATTCTTCAAACCTCTTTGAGAGGCCATTTCATCAGCTTCATCCAACACAAAATATTCTAACATCATCAGGGCGAAAAGCTTGTCTCAACATGTAAAACACGCCCAGGTGTACCAACCACAACATGAACTCCGCTAGACGGAAGTAGTTGATCTTTCTGGACACTGGTCCCACCTACACAAGCATGAACGGTTGAACCTTGACATTGTTGGATAGTTGGAGAAGTAAAAGTCTCACATCTAGAAAAAATAAAGAAATAAAATGTTTTACATATGTTTACTTTTTATTTATAAATAATTATAAAAAATAAGAACTCAACACCCGTAAGTTTTAAGTTTAGACTTTATAACCCCTTATATATTATTATTTAGATGGGTACTTGAGCGCTTGGGCTTTGACTTGCAAAAAGAAATTTATTTTTTTTAATAATTTTGGATTTTTTTTTTTTAAATTAAAAAGATGGGTTTAAATTTCAAACATAATTTTTGCTAGCAAAAAGTACATTTCTAAAATGGTGTGTATTTGTAAGAGCGCATTCATTTAGTAGGTGTTTTTCTACAAAAACATACCCTTTGGTTAATGTCTATTTAGATAATATAAATTTTTTCATAGAGTTCATGTTTTACGCATAACTTTGAAAAGGTTTTTAAGTTTTATTGTATTATAAATGATTTTTAAATCTTTAAAAAAAGGTAAGATCATGTCCCATAATCTTTTTCTTCTTTATTTTTTCTTTATGTTTACCAAACAGACGAGTTAGTAGCTTTTATTTCTTATAACATGTGTAAATGTGTGGTTATTCTTATCATAAAAAATTTTAAGATAATTAATTTTTA